AAAGAATGAATGGATAGAAAATGTAAATTATTGATACATATTGGGAAGTGTGATTTAAATTTATTCATATTGGGAAGTGTGTTATAGATAACAATTGAATTATTTATAAAAAAATAATTTGAATAATAAATTAATTTTCTTTAAAAATAAAAAGCATCCAAAGTGAACAACCAAATGGGGCCCACTATTAATGGATGCATGGCATCCATTTTAAACGGGCCCCTCTCGTTTAAACGGCCTAATTAAACGGTCGACACAGATGACTTTAGTGAGATTTTGAGTTTATATTGAAATAACATTTAAAATAAAATAACTAAAAATAGGAGAGATATGATATGGAGTGATGATTAGTTAAAATAATGTGAGTGGATGAATAGTGAATTAAAATTGATAATTGATGTAATGAGTAAGAATGATTATTTTATATTATTTCATTATGTTGATAATATTGAAAATGGTGAGATTAAATTAAAGTTGAGTTAAATTTTAAATATGAATTGAATATAAATTGAAAAAAAATTAATAAACAAACACCCCCTAAATAAATCCTCCTCAAGATGAACTCAATCCCAAGCATTACATGTAACAAATATATATACATAGCCATAAAGGCCACAACACCACCACAGTATATCCCCTAAACAGCATACAATCAAAAACAAAATCGACAATCACTTCCGAAATTATCAACATCTTACAAACACAACCCAATTATTTTTGATCCACTGCCTTATTCGTTCATTCCCAAAAAAACCTCTTTCTCTACCAAACTCTACACACAAACAAAACACTAATCTCGCAAAACTCTTCCTCAATTAATCCTCCTCATCTCGCATCCACCACCTGCCTAGGCTGCTCAAACCCCTCCTCAGAAAAATCCAGAAACGCGTCCCCCCCACCACTCCTCGACAGCGCGTACACAATCTCCANAGCACTCTCCATCTCCTCATCCCCCACACACCCATCCACCCACTCCCTCAAAGCCCCATCCCCCTCCTCAACCACCTCACGGGCCCTGGCCCACAACGGCCCATCCACCGCCTCACGGCCCGAAACAAGCTCCAACAAAACCACCCCAAACGCGAAGACGTCCGTTTTTGTCGAGACGACCCCATCTGAAAGGTACTCGGGGGCCATGTAACCCTGAGTGCCGACCACGTGGGCCGTCATCGCGTTGCGGCCGGAACGGGCCAGCCCGAAGTTGGCGACCTTGGCCCGCATGGTGGGGTCGAGGAGGATGTTGCTCGACTTGATGTCCTTGTGGACCACGCGAGGCCTCGTGTGCTCGTGGATGTATTGGAGACCGTTGGCCACGTCGATCGCGATACGCAAGCGTGTCTTCCAGGTGAGTTTGTTCTCGGTTGTTGCTCGGGAGGGGTCGTGGAGCCACGAGTGGAGGGACCCGTTTTCGACGTATTCGTAGACGAGATAGCAGTTTGCTTCGTGGGGGTCGATGCAGAAGCCCTCGAGTCTCACTAGGTTCCCGTGGTTCACCTGCGAAGTTATCGGGTAATATAATATTATATAGATATATATTTTTTTTATATGTATATTTTGGCAAAATTGCAATTCCAGTCTTTTTGGTTTGATCTGGCGGCCTTTTTAGTCCTAAGAACTGAACATTTTGCTATTTGGTCCTATAATTTTAAAACTCAACGCAATTTCAGTCTCAAATGACTGAAATTGCAGCAAAATACTAAATTACAGGATCAAAAGACAAAAAGTTGAAATCGTGGGACTTAAAATGCTATGACGTTAAAGCAGCAGGACTAAAAATGCAATTTTGCTATATATTTTTATGATATTAAGAAATGCCATGAGGCCTATGTATAAGCATTGCAAATACTCCATTGCTCTAAGAGTGCACTGATAAGTTATGCTCACTGGTTTGAATGCATAAACTGACAGAAGGAAAAGATTGTTTTTTTTGCAGCTTGTAAATTCGTAAGCTCGATCACAACTTAAATTTATATTCAACGTAACATAATTAAGCTTTGGCATTGCTCTGATTTTTAATGAGTAGTAGCCTGTGTCCAAAAGAAGATAGTTATAAAGAACGAACAGTTATTATATCATGGGAATCGTGAGAGACAACTACGAATCATCTTTTTCTTGAAACCTTTTGTGAGTGGAATAATTCAGCATGGGTAATAATATCATTATTAATTCAGAAAAGATTTTATATAGGTTGCCTAGGTAAATTAAATTAATAAATAAACAGATTTTATATAGGTTGCCTAGCAATTAGGCGCATTGAATTCTTAATTTTTAAGTTTTGCAGATTAAGATATATCTCTTCCACCAAACCATTAGTTTATTAACAGATTGACAATATCCACATTAGATAATTATATGTATTTCGTCACAAAGACAACATTATGCATCTCCGAGGTTTCATTGATCTGAAATTACATTCTTCCAATGTTTTCAACTGTTAACTAGTCAGCATGTTGAACGATAAAATTTATGTACGGTGAGATTCTGTTTGCTTGCAGTTATTTTGTTACTTGATAATTATTTTCTCCGAATTCCACAGAAGGGTCTTTAATCCAATCATACAAATTTCGAGTTTTTATAACTACTTTAATACAGCAATAGATCCCAACTTATTCCAATGTACCATTATTGCTGTTTTAATTAAAGATCCTTTGATTTCCTAACTTACATCCAATATAAAATCTTTGTTGTTTAATGATGCTTTGATTTTATAATCTTGATCACAAGATACTCACTAGAAGATGTAAGAAAATGTTCATCAACAGAAGCAAGAGCTAGCAAGCAAACAAGGTCAATAAATAACACAAAACTGTAGGCACCTAAATCCAAATTACTTCACAAGGAAGACTTGTGATCTGACATTCGTTATTTTACCAAATAAAAATTCATACTTTACCGCCAAAATTAATAATCTTCAGAAGTGATCAATAGTTGCTTGCATTTTTATTAAAAGTAACTACACTTATTCAATAAATAAATAAATTCAATAAAAAAAAAAAAAAAAAAAAAAAAAAAAAAAAAAAAAAAAAAAAAAAAAAAAAAAAAAAAAAAAAAAAAAAAAAAAAAAAAAAAAAAAAAAAAAAAAAAAAAAAAAAAAAAAAAAAAAAAAAAAAAAAAAAAAAAAAAAAAAAAAAAAAAAAAAAAAAAAAAAAAAAAAAAAAAAAAAAAAAAAAAAAAAAAAAAAAAAAAAAAAAAAAAAAAAAAAAAAAAAAAAAAAAAAAAAAAAAAAAAAAAAAAAAAAAAAAAAAAAAAAAAAAAAAAAAAAAAAAAAAAAAAAAAAAAAAAAAAAAAAAAAAAAAAAAAAAAAAAAAAAAAAAAAAAAAAAAAAAAAAAAAAAAAAAAAAAAAAAAAAAAAAAAAAAAAAAAAAAAAAAAAAAAAAAAAAAAAAAAAAAAAAAAAAAAAAAAAAAAAAAAAAAAAAAAAAAAAAAAAAAAAAAAAAAAAAAAAAAAAAAAAGAGAGAGAGAGAGAGAAGAATTACCTTCTGCAAAATCTTGAGCTCCTCATAAGCATTCCACTTCATCTTCTTGATTGCGAAGAATTCCCCATCAATGCAGCCCTTGTAAACAGAACCCTGAATCAAGCACTTGTCATCAAAACCCTCAGTTGCCTTCTTCAAATCCTCAATGCCAAACACTCTGTACTTATCCAAACAGCCCGACACATCAGCCATAAGATTCACCTCCTCAGCCTTCAAACCGGACACTGTTCTTCTCCTGTCCAGCTTCTCTTCGTTTCCTCCATTAAATTCCCCTTTTCCCCTCTTCAGTTTTCTTTCTCTGTACCACCACACAGCGCAAACCAGGATTAGCACAATCCCACATATACCCAGACCTATCCCCAATCCTATCTCCAAACCTCTGTCGTTATCATCATCACCATTATTATTATTAGCAGTAGTAGTAGTATTGTTGGTGTTATTATTATTTCCATTATTAGGACTAGGAGGCGCCACTGTAGGTTGGGGAAAATTGGGGAGCCGTGAAATAGGGACGAAGATGGTGTCAAACGCCTGGATATTGTTCCCATTGACGTCAATTATCGACTGCTGTGTGGATCCGAGCCTTGATGCGACATCGCTCAGGCGATCGGCCGGCTGGAAGACGTAGCTGACGAGGTAATTGACCAGATTCCGCACCTGCGACGAATTAGGGCAGCGGCAGAAGATGGGGAAGACAATTACATCCCCGATTTCGAGGCGGGTGGGCTCGAAGGTCGGATTGACGGCCTCCACGGACTGGTAGGTTGTGAGGTTCTGGAAGTTCACGGTGGAGACGCGGTAGAAGGTGTCGCCGCCGAGGATGGTGTAGTTGAGGGCGGCGTAGGAGATTGTGATGGTGGCGTTGACGGTGTGGCAGGAGCAGGTGACGGGGACGAGGAGGGGCTGGGCGGGGGCGAGGGTGGCGTTGGCGGCGGAGATGTTGCTGGGGCGGGATATCGCGAGGCGGCTGACGGAGAAGAGGTCGCCGACGGCGGCGAGGTCGAGGTAGTCCGGCGAGGCGGCCCGGTAGTAGACGTAGGTCTGACAGGAGTTTGGGGACGACTGGTTGGTGGGCACTGTGCAGTTGTAGCCTATGGTGCTTGGCTGGGCTTGTACGTTGTGGATAGAGAACAAGAAGAGGGATAAGGATAACGATAATGATAATAGTAAGGTTTGTTTGGTGGTGTTCTTCATTTTTAGCTGCTGAGCATGAATGTTATGTTGAGTGAAAGAAAAAAGTATTAATGTAAAGTGGATTTTTATAGGTGGGATTTTGAGCTTGAAGATGACAGATTGATTATACGGTCAAGATACGTTTAGGTCTTTCGTTTTGTGGGAGCAATTTTCTTGGTTGAGTGATGTGGTTGATAATGAAAAATTTCCAGGTGGGGTCACTTGAAGGAAATAATGTACCTATGAAGTAGGACTTATTAAGAGAAGAGGAGAAGAAAATTCCGCTTGATTCCAATTTTGATGATCTTATGTGATGGTATATATATATTAGTAATACGCGTTTTCGGCAGCAACAAGTTTAGTAAAGTTTAATTTGTGCAGTTTTTATCCAGTAAATTACAGGTTTTTGCTTTTGAACTTGCTTGCGAGATGATTGAAAACTTTAGAGATAATTGTGTACAATTGGAAATTTATGAACGAAAATGTAGAATGGGTTAGCTCGTTTAGAAAAGACTAATAAAGGTGTGATTGTTATCAACTCAATAAACAATAAAATCAATTAAAACTCAAATTTAATTCAACTTTAACACAACCATTATTTTTCATATTATCAATATAATTAAATAATATCAACTAATCATTCTTCTGCATCACATCAACTTTAATTCAATTCACTCACATAATTTTAACTAACTATTATTTTTAATCATTTTTCTCATATTTTTACATCAAATTAACTTTAATTATTTTATTTTAAATAATATTTCAATTTAAACTTAAATATCCACTAACAACTAACCATATCACATTTTTTTTTTTAAAAATTAACTATGATTAAAAAAACTAATTAAAAACTAGTTCAATTCAAATCCAATCACACCCTAATGGTTTATTTTTAAAAAAAATTACGAATGTTTCCCAAAAAAAAAAGAGAGAGAAACATTAATATTTTTTAATATTCGGTGCAATATGTGAAATTTTTGGGCCTACTTAGAGAAGTGTGACTCGCATAAATGGATCAGCCCAAGCCTATCCAGACTCACAACTCAAGTTCATGAAGTGAACGAAGAAGTCCAAGAGTATTTTGCCAGCATTGTGCCGATCTCTTGCTAATTCAGATGTCAATCCGCCTGTCAGTACCTATTGGTGGTCCCCTTGCAAAATGAGAAAAGGAACTGGTAATGTAAACCGAAAAAGCGATCGTCCAGCTGGTCCCATCATCAAAAGCCAAAACGGGCGTCACATCCTCAAAAGTTGGATTTTTGCATGACAACACGCGTCAACCACCTAGCCTCTAAGGTGGCATGCCGCCATCATTGATTTTTCACTTTATTTCATGTATACATGAGACACCAAGTACCTCTGAAAAACAACAAGCAATACCTAAAAAAAATACATACTCAAAAAACATTTACTTTATAATATAAAAGTACTTACTTTCTTGCATATGCCAGTTTGTGACAATTTCTTATTTTATTGTCGATCTCTGTGTTTTTATTATCTTTTGGTTCATTTTTGTACTAAAACACTCTTAATCTCCATATATTACGTTGGTAATCAGTTGTTGTCAACAAATTGACGTTAGAAGAAGAGCCCAATCAAGGGTTCTCCTCACAATTACTTGGCCATGTTCGCAAAAAATGCTTTCAGTCAACAAGAGGGCAATTCCCACCTTCATCCTGATGTTACACAAATCTTTCAAAACCCCACTTTTAAAGGCCATGATGAACTCTTCTCCCAAATGCTTCGCAATAAAAGCCCCCAACCAATCCTCAATCAAACGCTAATTCGCAAGAACTTCTACAAACAAACATCCCAAGAAGCCCACTTTCACGAGCACCATGATTCTTGTGGCAGGGATAAATGTTGGTATATGTGTCCTAGAGATAATCTTTTTGAGGATATATATAAATGATCACATTAATAATTATATTGGATTATAATTATGATATTGCAATTAATTAAATAATTGTTTGATTGTTTGCAAGCTATTAATTAATTGCTCCCTTGAGTCAATATTGTCATTAACAGAGTGAGATGTTAATCGATAAAGTATAACTCTAAAATCGCCTCAATCAATGATCATTAAGAAAGGGAGATTAATGATACGCGATAGATTGACATGTGGTCTGCATCATATTTTTGGAGAATATAGTATGTCTCACTGTTATGAATAATTGTTATTCGTGATAGACACATTGATACTTTGGAGAGTATTGACATACCCTACCGATAAACCATTTGTTTATGTGTCTATGAGAGTATCGGTGTGTAAAATGGTTTAATAGTCATTTGACTTGAGGTTAATACGCAATTCATGTATAAAGTGATTTACTTAGACCAAGTCCAACGCTTACGCCCTTATAGGTAGATATGAGCTTGTGTTGGGTTGATCACAATATACATAGAATTGGTAGTTGAGCCAAGATAGGATTCATTCCTCGAATATAGTTTCGAGAGAACACTTGTTTTCTCTATACTGAGTTGATAAAGTCATTGGTCAATGCACGTGATTATATTTGAAATGGTGTTCAAATATAATTGATAAAATCAACTAGTAAGATGAGATAAAATGATTAAGCTGTTTGGATAGACACACGATCAAGTTTTAAACTTAATCGAGTGGTTCGTGAATGAAGGGACCGTATCACCATTGAGTTCTACACTAAAGGTTTGTTTGCTTTATCCATGTAAACATACTTCATATTTCGAGTTCGTCCTTCGACGCAGTCTAAGAATTTCGTAAGGATTATAAATTAGATTTATGTCAATTTATGAAGGCTTATAGGGTCACACAATATGCAATCAGTTTTCTGACTAAGAGTGAATCGAGAGTGTTAAATATTCAATTAGATTGTAATATTTATTTATGAGTAATGAGATTATTTTCTATTTGATAGAAAATATTTAATTAAGTTAAATTAGATTTATATTTAATTAAATTATTAGTTGGATTAGGTCCAATTATCTATTGCGCTTTAGGGTCTCCTAAGGCTCATATGATTAAGTTTGACTTAATTATAAATACCTCATTATCTTTTCACAGTAAAAAATAGATGGATCGATGAAAGAGTAAAACTCTGAGAGATCCCAAAAATCAAATCTTAGGAATTGAGAGATCAATATCAAAAGACAAAACACTCTAGCTTTCTGGATCGAGGATTCCTAGCTTCTTCACCAGAAGGGATTCATTGACGTTAGATCATATAGGATTGCGTGGATACAATAGTCGAGGACATAGACGAACAACTGTAAGTTTTCGTTAATCATTCACGCGATCTGGGATCATATCGAATAGCTATAGCCGGATCTTCATTGTTGATAAAAAAAAAATTAAAATTCCACTGCACGTACGCTGGGTTCGTACGTCGAAAATCCAACAGTAAAGACACACAAAAACCAGATCGTCGGAAAGATGTGTTACTGTGTTAGTGGGGTTATCTTGTCTTATCTAATAGTCAAGGACATAGACGAACAACTGTAAGTTTTCGTTAATCATTCACGCGATCTGGGATCATATCGAATAGCTATAGCCGGATCTTCGTTGTTGATGAAAAAAAATTTAAAATTCCACTACACGTACGTTGGGTTCGTACGTCGAAAATCCAACAGTAAAGACACACAAAAACCAGATCGTCGGAAAGATGTGCTACTGTGTTAGTGGGTTATCTTCTCTCGTCTTTCCTCAATTTTCTTAAAAGAGTGGTATCAAAAAGCATCATAAAATATTTGTTTCTATTGTTACTGTGTTAGTGGGGGTCATCTTGTCTCGTCTTTCCTCAATTTTCTTCCATCATATCATGTTACATATGACATTAAATCAATAAATGGGGTTGACTTGCAAAGACGTCCTTCGGTCCAATTTGACTCTGTCAAAAGAGGCGTCCGCTACAGCTAATTAGTTTGGGAGAATTTCATGGCAGATGTTTCAATTTTATTAAATATATTGAACTAGGATCACAATTTTATTATTATTTTTACTAGGAACCTACTAATTTTCCAGTTTTTGTTTTTCTTTTCCAAATGAAAGCTTTGGAGGAGATTACAATTCATCCTCGAAGTAAGATCTGAATGTGGAGAGAATCTGATCTTGCTAAAGGTGTGACTGGATATAAATTTAATTTATTTTTTATTGATTTTTTTAATTATAGTTGATTTTAAAAAATATAATATGGTCAGTTTTTAGTAGAATTAGAATTATATTAAAATAATATTTAAAATTAAATAATTAAAGTTGATATGATGTAAATGTAGGGGAGAATCTGATCTTGCTAAAGGTGTGACTGGATATAAATTTAATTTATTTTTTATTGATTTTTTTTAATTATAGTTGATTTTAAAAAATATAATATGATCAGTTTTTTAGTGGAATTAGAATTATATTAAAATAATGTTTAAAATTAAATAATTAAAGTTGATATGATGTAAATGTAGGTAATAGATTATGTGAATTAATGGTTAGTTAAAATCTATATCCATATAATGGACCAATCCATTTTGTTAAAATTAGCATATATTTTTCTGCCTAAACTTTTCATCCAAATTTAAAAATATTATTGAACTTCACTAAAATGAATTCTAGAACTTTTAATTGTAAATATTTATTTATAATTTCTAAATTCCTATAAATTTAAGAATTTCGATATGAATAATACAAAATCATATTATATTTGAACAATTCCATATTTATTAATGATTATTTTGATATTATCAAATGTTAATGTTAATTTATTATGCAGAGAAATATAATTTGTCTAACGAAAAATTAATTTAAAACATATCAAATTAGCTTAATTATACTATTGCCTGAAAATATCAATGTTTATCTAAGAAATAATGTGCATATCTACATATATATATCTATATCATTGAATAAATAATTTTTGTATAAAATAATTGATGTGTGGATAAACATACAAATGTTGTTATAATTAGATGGGTGATATAATATATATGTATATAATTAGGATCATATGAGAAAGAGGGATAGTGAAATAAATAACAATGATTTTATAATATTA